TCTGGAACTCCAGGCTCAGGCTTGGGTCTCCTTCCTGGGAGGTGGTCCAGATGTACCAGACCCACCATCCTGTTGCAGGCCCAGCTGGTCTGGCAGGAGAGGAGACAGAGGTTATGTCTCTGTATAGGCCCTAGGCCTGCCTCTGCAGTCCTGTCCTGCAGGTGCTTGAGCCTGCCTTTCTAGGCAGAGGGAGTTGTGCACCAAACTGTGGCTGGACAACCCCTACCCTTCTGTGTGCCCAAGCCTTCCCTGCCTCTGTTGGGTCAGCTAGCCTCCCACCTCTTGTGTCTGCACAGAGGGTCTTGACTCCAGGCCAGCAAGTAAGTTAGCTCAGGCCTCTAAACTAGGGCACTAGGGCAGGTTCCGTGCCAGAGTATGTGACTACACAGGGGGCCTGAGCTGCGAAGTGGAATGGGACCCCCATCCCAGCTGTCTGACAGATGGGGCTGTGCTGTGTCATTCTGTCATTGTAATATAAATACAGATTTTTATACCTCATCTTCTGGTTTCTAGTTCTTTCTGTCTCCTTGCTTTTCTTTCCCTCCAGCTTCAGCTAGAGGGCCTGACTCACTGGAGCTTGGCTCATCCTGGCCTTTGGGAACCAGCTTTCACATCTACAACTTCTGTTTCCTGGCCAGATCCATGAAGACACGGGTAGAAGTACCACACACCCTACTCTGTGCCAGGTGTCTTGTTGTTGGTCTTGTGGTTTTACCCTTTTGTGGACTAGGACACTGTGGGCCCAAAGACAGCTCCATCCTTAAGGGTGCTATGCTGATCAGGTGCCCTCTACAGGGAAGTTGCTGGATCTCCCTCGGGCTACACCTTCAAGGACCAATCCCTGGGCCCATCCCACTATCCTCACAGTGACTCCGGCATAGCTTCTGCCCTCAGTCCCTACTGTGCTGAGGTGGAAGTGTGTCCAGCTGTGCTCAGTGCTAGCATGGGGACTTAGGCTTCTGAGCTGCCCTCACAGAAGCAGCTGGGAGTTGTTAGAACACACAGGATGGGGAAACAGGACAATGCCCCTGACATTCCACCTCCTATGGGGAGGCTTCAGTCCATTCACAGGAATCCTGGCCCTTGTCCTTAGGGACTCAGCTGTCCTCCCTCCTTTAAGAATTTGCCACCTTGAACACCATAGAGGGAATGGATCAGGACTTCCAGAGAGCAAGATGTCACCACACCAAACCCTCTGTAGAACACATTGGAGATGGCCTAGTGGTACCTGATAGAAAGTTTTAGGGTGGAACCAGGAATCTTGGGGAGGTATCAGCCCTCCCAGCAGGCAACAGTGGGCTCTGGATTCCTGAATATGTGCACCCCTGCCTTCTGTTGGGAAGGAGTGGGAGTGGACAGCCTTTGAGGCAGTTGAAGGTTACTCAGAAAAAGGTGTTTTTTCATGTGAACACAATTGGGACCCCAGAATTGGTACAATTTGGATGTTGATGTTAATATGAACATTTAAATCCCAAATACTGTGGTTTGAGCCTACCCTACTACCACTTCCTATTGGGACGGTGGGCGCCAGGGTCTGTGCTAAATACTTAGCATGATTAGCACCTGCTATAGTCATACTGGGTCAGTCTCACAGGAAATTAATTCTCCATCCATAGCTTTCCTGGCATGTCCAGTCCCACCAGACACCTCCCTAGGACCATCCCTATATATCTTCATGTTTGCCCCCATGTGAGACCCCTGCATGAGTCTGAACACTTGCCTACTTCCTTCTTGGCAGTCAGAGTGGCTCCAAGATGGCCCTGCTGTTCTTCCCTTCCTCCCTAGAATTAAATGCCTGCTAGCTCCCGCTCTTTACCTCAGCCCAGCCTACCTTCAACTTAGCCCTTTGTCCTTACCATCTCATTTTGGATCTCATGGTTAGTTCAAGCCCAGTCTCCTCTGCAAGTGAGCCCCGAGTCCTTTGTCCCTATCTGTCACATGGTTGCTGAGATTCTGGCTGCATCAGTTAGGTGGTGGACTCATATAGACTAATCGCTAGTGGGACATTGCATAGCTTCTTTTTCCAGTCTTTAGCTAGACAGCTGGAGCACAGGAGCTCTGGATTTTTCCAGAGTTATACCACTGGCCTGGGAAGGGAGCTGCAGTGGCTGTCATCACAGTCTTCCTCAACAGATATGAGCCTCTCAGCCTACCTAAGGTCCCGGACTGCTCTGGCCCCTAGACTCCACCAGGCCTCTTGTTATCAGCTTCCAGCTTCAAAGGTGCCTGTTCCTACCCACCACCATGGTGACCCCTTCCTGGTGGTGCTGACTCAAATGCTCCTCAGTTTGGTACTGAGTTTTCACCTTTCTCACATGAGTGTAAACACCATGAGAAGAAATCTCCCCTTCCCCGACTCCACGGCCTGTGGAAAGTCAGCTTTCTTCTGGAAGAACAAGACAAATAGGAAGAAGCTGCCAGGCCACATCTCACTGGCTGACAGCCCCCAGGGATCTGCCAGCTCCTGGAGTTCCCTTGCCTTTACCCATTCCTGAGTTGTCCAGTGCCAGCTTTCTCAGACCTTTTGTATTTGAAAAAAAATGTAGAATCAAGCTAACACATGTCTGAGGAAGTCACTCCCTTGCTTCCAAACAGCCCCATCTCCATGTTGTTTGGAGAATAGGTCTCTTCACTTCCATTAAATTGCGCCCAAAATCAACCTTTAGCATCACAGTTGATATACGAAGTTTTAAAACTGCCTGAAAATATACTCTCTAAAACATAAACTACTTTTTAAATATTGATGACAGGAGAGTGAAACTTCAGCCAAGAAGTAGAAAAAGCAAGCAGCAAAGACTGTCCCTCCCGGCCCTGCAGTTAGGTTTGTTTCATCCGTGACATTCTCACAGGCTTGCTTAGGCGAGATCAGCTCCTGGCTTCCCTTACCTTCTGACCCCATTAAAACCACAACTGATTTTGAGTAGAAAACAAGCTTGTCTTGAAATAAGTTTAACATACTTGCCTTCTTAAATTTTTAATCCAATTCCCGGAAAACTTCCCAGATCTGTATAATTAACCCCATTGTGTTTGTCGTTTGTACTCAGGGTCCTGATCCTGTTCTAATCTCTATATTTTTATGACTTCTTATGGCCTCATAAACACCTTTCAAACAAATAGCTCTGATAAGTAACTCAAAATGGAGAGTTGGGGGCCTGGAACTGCCCAGGAGTCACTAAGAAAAGTGGGTTTTCTGGAAGGTCTCCAGGGTTCCAGGTTGTGCCTCCTGCTTTGGGGGACCTCATCCTGAGCAAAGTAGCCTTTTGTCTTTCTGCCATCCTTAATTTTGTCTCCTCTGAGTTCTTCCTCACAATCTATAAATATCTCCAAGTTCCTCCCATTTTAAAACAAAACAAAACCAAAAAACCCTCTTAGCCCTGCATTCCCACCCCCTCATCTTGTGTCATTTGGCTCTTTTTCTCTCAGTCTTTGCCTCCTCAGCAAAATTTTCCAAAAACACTGCCTGCACTTCCTCTGGCCAAAACCCACTCAACACCAGCTCCCTGCTGAGCCCCTACCTCCAGCTTGACACCAGGGGTCCTTCTTGGCCTGTTCCCTGATTTCCTAATTCCAGGTTAGGCACCATTCTGAGAACTTTCCCCCAGTAATGTTTGTTTTTATTTACTCCTAGATTTTATTGGCTTTCAAAAAGAGGATTAAAAAGTGAAACAAGAATTAATAGTAAATGTCTTTAACTCTAATTAATTATCTGCTAGATCGTTAGTTTTTCTCTCTTTAAAAACATTAAGAGCTGGGCAGCATAATTCATACCTATGACCCCAGCACTTGGGGATGCTAAAGTAAGAGAATCTTGAATTGAAGCCCAGTCTGGGCCATGTAGAAATCCTTGTCTTAAAAACCAAAACAAGCAGGGAGCTGGAGAGTCGGCTCAGCGGTTAAGAGAACTGTGTGCTCTTGCAGAGGTCCTGAGATCAATCCCTAGCCCTCTTCTGATATAAAGGCATGCATGCAAACAGAGCACTCATAACATTATTCAAATAAATAAATAACTCTTAACAGATAAGTTGGGGAGGGGGGCAATGCAGAAAGAATTCTACCTAGTAGCAGCTAGCCTAGAACTTTGATAAACCACCTCATTTGTGACCGGAGGAGAGGAGTACTGTTTTCTAATGATCAAAGCCTACACCTTGCAAATTTATATGTCATCTTACAAGAGATTGGTAAATTGCAAATGCAGTTTGTCTGGTAGAAAAATGAACAAATGCTGTCCCATACGAACACGTTGTTACCAATGCCAAAGGGCAGTTTTCTGGGACCATAAGCCATTAAGCAGGCTTGCATCACTTAGCCGTATTTCAGCTTTCTGCCTTCCATCGAACGACTGTGGCTATCCTAGCAGCCTCAGAATGTCTGTACTTTCGAGTTGAATGCATTCCTTCCACAGCTCTCCAAACTTACGTGCTTTCCAGTTTGATATTTTGAAGATGGGATCGTGGAGGAAGTCAGCTAGGCCTTGGGAGTTAAGTACTTTTGCTCAACAACTATTGTAAAAGAATCTATAGCCAATAATCCTACACAGCAAGAGATCTGTTGCTAGCACCCCGTTAGGTCACCGTGCCGCGGGGAGGGGTCTTTCGGTCTCAGGCTTCTGATCCCTAGAGGTGTCGAAGATTAAGAGCCATCCTTAGGCTAGGAGGCCTAACTGAACGAGAGAAGCCTGGTTCACTGTGCAGCGCACAGCCCAAAGAACCCCAAACATCAACTTCAGGGTGGGGCGGGGAGAGGGCGGAGTCTCCAGCGAGGAAACCGCTCCGCTTGAGCCTAACGGGAAGGACGGCGGGCTGGGGGCGGAGTTAAAGGGCAGCGTCTGGCAGAAGAGCCAATCAGCTGGCTCTTGGCTCCAAGCAGGCAGGGGGTGGGGCAGGTCAGCTGTTCCTCCTCAGCCTCTCCGCGATACCACGCCTGCGCAGACATCGTCGCTGTTGCTATCTGCGCGTGCGCGTCCCGGCACTCCCGTGAGGCACTGCAACGCGCGCTGTTAGAGGCCGCTGACAGCGCCCGCGGGAGCCGCCGGAGGTGAGGGGTTCCGGTTCGGGGTTGGCGGGGCCGCCGCTACCCTCCTGCAGCCAGCTTGAGGTTCGGATAGCCAGTAGAGGTACGGCGGGAGGCTGAGGCTTCGTGCCGGGACTGAGGGTGCGTGGCCAGTCATCCGGCTGGGGTTGGTAAATTGTTTTTTTCCGAGTGCTGCGGATAAAACCCAAGGCCTCAATCATACCAGGCAAGCGTTAAACCCCAAATATGTCCCTATCCTTTATGCATCTTTTTGTTTGCTTGTTTTGCTTTTCGAGTCAGGGTTTCTCAGTGTAACAGCCCTAGCTATCCTGGAACTCACTCTGTAAACCAGCCTGGCTTCGAACTCACAGGCATCCACCTGCCTCTGCCTCCAGAATGCTGGGATTAAAGGCGTACGCCACCACTGCCCGGCCCTTTATGCATCTTTTAAAAAGCAGCAATTCTGTGGTTTTGTGGGTGTGTTTTATTAGGGATCCGGAACTGGTTACTCCAGAAACAAACAAAAGCCAACCCAGAGATTTTGCTATCAGAGTGTCAAATGTATCGAGATTTGTACGGCCTGCCATTGCCACTGACCTTCGTTTGGCTCAAGTCATCGATCATTGTGCCTTGGTGAAAATAATACTTTTTGCTTGATGACTGGTTACTTTGAAACTTGTCAGTTTGCCCTGGTTTTCTCTGCATTAGGCTGGTTATGTCTGGAGATTGAGTCATTTGAACCTGATGAATGCTGATTGATGTAAATATTCAGTTGATCTTTTAAAAAGTGGCATATTTCTGTTTCTTAACTAGAAACGACAGTGGGACATAACTATTATTTTACAAAATATAGTGCATTTTAAATAATTTCGTCATTGGAAAAATAAGATTTTTATTGTTATATTTTCATTAATCGGGTTTTCATTACTGTTGCAGTGTTCTAAGCAGCGCCCTAGTAGCTAATGTTTTGCTCCATTTTCATCAGATAACGAACCTGCACCTGCCTTTCATTTAAATAGTTTCCTGATGGCATCTGATAAAATTATCTGTGTATTTAAAGTGCATTTGACTTATTTGTAGTCTAATACTTGTTTTTTTCCCCTCTAGGAAAGCACATTATAGATTGTATTTTCCCCCTTCTTCCATGGACTTAGTGTAAACATGTTTTTTTCTGTTTGAACTTAGTTCTTAAAGACAATTACCATAGATTCATATCAAATATAAGAAACAGGGGAAGGGTAGTTAAACCATGAGTTGTGGAAAGGAATTTGTGGAAACACTGAAAAAAATTGGTTATCCTAAAGCTGATACTCTTAATGGAGAAGATTTTGACTGGCTGTTTGAGACTGGTGAAGATCAGTCATTTCTGAAATGGTTTTGTGGGAATGTTAATGAACAGAATGTATTGTCTGAAAAAGAATTGGAAGCTTTCAGCATTCTTCAAAGATCAGGCAAGCCCATCCTAGAAGGAACGGCATTGGATGAAGTTCTTAGAACGTGTAAAACTTTTGATTTGAAGACACCTACACTGGATGACAAAGAGATTCAGAAATTAGAAGATGAGGTTCAAATTCTGCAGAAATTGTATAACTTAAAAATTCAGCGACGGAATAAATACCAGTTAATGACTTCTGAAACTAGTTACAAATCTCTGGCATTAAATGCTAAACAAGAGGAAACTGCTAAGAAGCTAAAACAAAGTCAAGGATTCCTAGATGCTGTGAACACTAAACTCAGTAATGAACTTCAAGTTCTTACTGATGGAGTTAATAATTTGATGATATTCTTCAGAGATTCTAATTTGGGTCAAGGGACGAATCCAATGGTATTGTTATCTCAATTTCCCTTGGAAAAATATATAAGCCAAGAAGAGCAAAGCACAGCAGCCTTAACCTTATATACCAAAAAACAGTTCTTTCAGGGTATACATGAAGTAGTTGAAACTTCAAATGAAGAAAATTTTCAACTCTTAGACATACAAACATCATCTATTTGTGATAATGAAGAAATCCTTGGGGAGAGACAACTGGAGATGGCTAGGCTGCAAGTAGCATACATCTGTGCCCAACAACAGATCTTATACCTGAAAGCAAGTAATTTGAGCATGAAGTCAAGTGTAAAATGGGCAGAAGAGAATCTTCATAGCCTAACCAGTGAGGTAAACATAAGAAATAAGACTGAATTTGTATTTTAATTGTTAGAAACATAAGGTTTAATATTGCTACTACTTTAGAAAGGAGAAATTGAATTTAATTTTGTTTTCTCAGTACTTATTTGCAGTGTGTATTTCATACAAAAATATTATTAATCATATTACCAGAACTTAGTAATTTTATCCTCAGTAATACTACCTGATTAATTCTGAACAAAAATGCCTTAATTTGCATTATGAACTTGAAATTTGTGTCATTTCAAATATAGATTAAACTGGGTTTCCATTTTATGATATATGTCATTTATGATATATGCTTGTTTGTGGGTGTTCTGCCTTATTTCTCTGAGGAGAAGTCAAAAGTTCTGGATTCAGTGAAATAAATTCCTCTTGTTGAGAATGTGAAGATCTATTACAGTTATTCATTTGTACTCTTGGGAAGCTTGCTTTCTTAATAATATAATCATCAGATAGTTGAATAAAAATGTAGGTTTTTCTGAATCAGAATGAATACTTACATTAAATTAGTTACTGCAAGAGACAAAAATTTGAAATAATAAAAGAAGTGTGTGCTGGAATCAGCCGATGCACTAATACCTATTGAGATAGTTTAAGAAAAACTAAAATCTTCATTTGCTGTCAGTGACTAATATACCGATAAAGTTATGATCAAGATAATAGATCTCCTAGTTAGCTATTACTGCATGCATATTTAATGTAAAAGCACTGAAGTTCAGTAGTTCATGCTGACTTTTCTCTTGACTTAGTCCAGTATCTTCTCTTTTAAAATTAGTTTTGGATTATACTAATAAGTTAGTTTTTATTCAGTGAGCATATTATCTGACCACTTAAAACAAAAAAAGTGAAAATAATTTTAAAATAAAAATTTAAACCTATAATTTAAAATGTTATTGCTTTTTTTTTGTGTAGGCTGTTGATAAAGAAAATTTGGATGCTAAAATTTCTAGCTTGAACCATGAGATTCTAAAACTTGAAGAACAAATCACCCATATGAAAGACAAAATTTTGCCTGCTGTAGTAAAAGAGAATGCCCAGTTATTGAACATGCCAGTTGTAAAGGGAGATTTTGATCTGCAGATTGCTAAACAAGATTGTTATACAGCAAGACAAGAGTTAGTTTTAAATCAGTTGATAAAGCAGAAGGCCTCATTTGAGCTTGTACAGTTATCCTATGAAATTGAGTTGAGAAGACATTGGGATACGTATCGGCAACTTAAAAATTTGGTTCAACAACTTAGTCAAAGAAACGTGGTGCTCTGTCAGCATTTAGCAACGATAACAGATCCGTCAGCATCTGAGCAGTTAAACTCCAGGACTCCCATCAACACTAAAGATTATTCTACTCATAGGTATGCATATGTCATTGCTTTCTTAATATTTTTTTATTTGTGTAAGATACAAGAGAATTTGAACAGAAATTGTAAAGGTTAAAAAAATTACTTGTACTTAGATTGGCCTTTCTGCTTTTCTTTTATCTTAAACAATTTTTGTTCCCTTTCTGTTCATGTTAGGTCTGAATGTAGCCACTTTAGAGCTGAAGTCAATGAGTTGTAGGAATAAACTAATAAAACATTTATTCCCACTTAGACACCATTATTTACTTTATTTTAGATTTGGGGCAGGACATTTGAATACAGCTTTATATCATAGGTATTGCCAGGCACAATATTGATTGTATTTGGGGAAGGTGGTAATAGAGCGGAAGACTTTATTCCCTGTCTGGTGAGGTAGAGCACTCAAAGTGAAAGCTAGACTTTCCTGGTTATCTAAGTAATTGATGATACCAAGATACTGGAATTAAAAGACTAAAGAATGCAGACTTTAAAAGTCTGTATTCTGTTCAGTGTAGTGACTCATATCTGTAATCCTAGTACCTAACAGGCTGGTATAGAAAGATCCTACGTTTGAGGCCATCGTGGGCTGTAGAAAAAGAATGTTCAGAAAACACTTGTGTTTTAAATTCTGTGTAGTGATGGGATTATACCTTAATTTTAACTTTTTGGAAGCTGGGACAGGAGAATCTTGAATTTGAGGTCAGTTTGGGCTACATAGCAAGAATTCTAGGGCAGCCTGAGTTGCACAATGAGACTTTGTATTTTAAAGAAAGAAAGGATTGGCAGGGAGACAGGGCTAAGGAGATAGTTCAGTCACTGAAGTACTTGTGTACAAACTTAACCTGAATTTGATCCCAGAAATTACATAAAAAAGCCAGGTGCAGTGGCACACTCCTGTCATCTCTACACTGGAGAGGTAGAGGAGAAAGAATCCCTAGTGCTTGCTGGCCAGCCAGTTTCACTGAATAGGTGAACTCAGGTTTGTGAGAGACTTTGGTAAAAAATGAGACAGTGTTTGAGGAAGAGCCCCAACATCAACCCCTGGCCTCCCTGTGCACATGTGCACACAGGTGCACACCCACCCACACAAACACATAATTTGTATCCTATTCTTCATTTTTCTGCAGGATTAGAATAATATACACTAAATCATTTTGTTTATTAGTAAAATGAATGACTTAGGGTTGCCTCATTGTTTTAATTTTAGGGTTTGCCATCAACATCATGGTTCATGTAAACGTGCTAATGTGTAATTGTGTAGTTATATACTCCGGATTGTAATTGGCAACTTTGAATTTCAACCACCTTTATAGTCTGTTAAGATTTGGGTATGTGAAGAGAGCAAGCTATATACTGGTGTATGTATAAGTAAAAGATAAAATGTCTTTTTATAAGGAAGGTGTGACATGTTGCTTTAGATTTTTCTTTTGTCTTATAGGCTGATGGATTTTCTGCCATTAAGTGAAATGGTCTTATTAATTATCAGGGTTTTTTTTGTTTGTTTTATTTTTGTTTGTTTTGTTTTTCAAGATAGGGTTTTTCTGTGTAGCTTTTTGGAACCTGCCCTGGAACTTGCTCTGTAGACCAGACTGGCCTTGAACTCACAAAGATCTGAGTACCTCTGCCTCCCTAGTGCTGGTATTAAAGGCGTGTACCACCACTGCCCAGCAATTATCAGGATTTTTACCAACCAAAATACTGAACAAATTAAAGTAGGAAGTTTATTGTTAATGGCTATTTATATAGCTCTTAATTGTTTACCTTTTACAATATTTACATTTTTAGTTTTTCTCTTTTAATCCCGCCACAATCTTGTCCAATAGGCATTTATTGGTCATTGCTGCTACTGCTATGTCATAGATGCATTCTATAAAAATGTTTTCTTGGGATGTATCACTGAAGCTTGCTTTGAAGTAAACTAATAAAGGTGAAGTTTGTGTCTAAAATAGGGATGATGGAGAAACTGGAAATTTAGATATTTCTTTTAAAGAATCATTTATCTTTTGATATAGTATCTTGCTGGCCTTGAATTTGCTCTGTAACCTTGAGCCTATGATGCACCTGCCTTAGCTTCCTGAGTGCTGGGATGACAGGGTTGTATCATATGCTCAAATTCAGGTATTTCTCTCTTCTGAATAGTATTATACTTGTGATGTTTCAGTTGCTCAATATTAGAAACACACAAATTACTACTTTTCAGTTGTTACTTAGCTATCACTATCCATGACCCAATATGGTGGGTTATAATTTTGAAAACTGCTAACATGAACATTTTTCTCTTTAATTTTACATTTTAGGCTTTATCAACTTTTAGAAGGAGACAATAAGAAAAAAGAATTGTTTATAACCCATGAACACTTGGAGGAAGTGGCTGAGAAATTGAAACAAGATCTTTCTCTAATACAAGATCAATTGGTAGTATCTACTCAAGAACAGTTTTTATTTCTGTCCAAACTGAATAATGATGTGGACATGCTTTGTGATGCTTTGTATCACGGAGGGAACCAGCTATTGCTCTGTGATCAGGTGAGTGTTTACCTAAGAAGTTTAAAATGCTTTTAAAAATATGCTTATTGTAAGGGGCTGGAGGGCTATCTCAGTAGTTAAGAGCATTTGCTGCTCTTGTAGAAGACCCGTGTTTCATTCCTAGCACCCACATGGTGGCTCACAACCATCTGTAACTCTAGTTATGGGAGTTCTGACATCCGTGGCTTTTGTGGGTATCAGGCACATGTGTGGTACACATACATACATGCAAGCAAAAATACTTATTCAAATAAAAAAAATCATTAAAAAGTAATGTTCTGCCAGGCAGTGGTGGCACACGCCTTTAATCCCAGCACTCAGTAGGCAGAGACAGGCGGATCTCTGTGAGTTTGAGGCCAGCCTGATTCACAGAGCAAGTGCCAGGACAGGCTCCAAAGCTACACAGAAAAACCCTGTCTTGAAAAACCAAAATAAGTAAGTAAGTAGGTAGGTAAATAAATGAATGAATAAATAAAATAATTAAATAAATGAATAAATAAAATAATGTTCCTTATAAAAGAAAATATCATGAAGAAAAGATTACCCTATCCCATTATACCAATATAAAATGTTTTTATTTAGAGTACAGAGTCTTGTTGTATAGCCTATGCTGGTCTCCAACTCACAATCTTCCAGGTTCTAGGATTACAGGCATATGCCACCATACAAAACCTTATGGTTTTTTGTAACTACTAATACGAATTCAGATAATTTTGAATGTTGTGTACATAATTGAAAGTAAAATTTTCAGCCACTATAAAAATGATATGATTTTGTATTAGGGAAGAAAACTTGTTATTTCAGCAAAGAGAAGATTGCTCGTCTGTCTTTAAAATCTCTGTGTGTACTTATTGGTACATGCTTCTTCTAATGGAATTCCCCAACTTTTTTGTTTTAAACATGTTTCCCAGTGACTGGTCTTTTAGATGTTTATAGACATTTTTTCACCATACTCTTTTTTAAAATCACATTTATTTGTGTGTTATGTGATAGTGTCATGATGCACAGGTGGAAATCAGGACCATTTATAGAAGTTGGTTCTCTTCTTTCTACCATATCTTTCCAGGGATTGAATTATGGTTGTCAGACTTGGCTGTAGATGTCATTGTCTACTGAGGTGTCTCTCTAGTCCATCATTGTGTTACTCTTGAGCATATTTTAAAGGAAAAAAAAATAAGCCAGTTAAAATGAGTAGAATATTTATAAAGCCTCATGATTAATTCCTAATTGCTCTGAATTGTTCTGTGATTCACAATTGACACATTTTTCTACATCAAGAATATTAGGGAAAACTGTTTGTTTGATTCCAAACAGAATCTCACCACATAGCCCTTGCTGGACCAGAACTTGCAACATAGACTTGTAACAGTCTTTCCTTTGCCTCCAAGTGGTGGGATTACAGTTCTGAGTGCTTGGCCATCAGAAACCACCACATAATGGTCTCCATGATAAGATGCATCTTTGTTTCAGAATGTTGTGATCTGAAAAAAACTGTGTATCCCAGTCTGGCCTCAAATTTAGAGCAATCTGGCCTACCTTTCCTACTGTTGGTGTTGTAAACATGAGCACCATCCATGCCCAACCTGTTAAGGGTTGTTTTTTTTATTTTAATTTTTTATTACATTTATTTATTTTTGTGTGTGAAGGGTCACACACCTGTCGATCAGAGGACAATTGGGAGTCTATTTACTTCAAACATGGGTTTGGGGGATCAAACTTGGGTCATCAGGCTTGATAAAAAGTGCCTTTGTCCACTGAGCCATCTGTTCAGCCCTGTCTTTTTGTTTTTCTCTAGTTCTTTGTTTAAAGATAGGATCTCACTATGTAGGTCTGGCTGGTTTGGAATTAACTGTGCAGATCAGGCTATCCTAGCACTAAGAGATGGTCCTGCCTCTGTCTCACAGGTGTTTATATTAAGAGTCTGTGTCATCACTCCAGCCTAACAGGGCTTTTTATTGTGATTATGAGAAGTTATTCATTCAATAGAATTTCCTTTTAAGTTGCATCTTAAATTTCTAGTTGGTGTTAGTGATAAAGTTCTTGAAATAAAGCTTTTTTTCCTCCCCTTTTCAGGAGTTAATGGAGCATGTTCATCGAGTTGAATCTAAGTTGAATAAACTAAATCATCTCCTTACGGATATTCTTGCTGATGTGAAGACAAAAAGAAAAATTTTGGCAACTAATAAATTGCATCAAGTGGAAAGAGAATTATATGTATATTTTTTTAAAGATGGAGACTATCTAAAAGATGTTGTGGAAAATTTAGAAAACCAGTCAAAGATTAAGACCTCTGATCTTAAAGACTGAAGATTTCTCAAAGCTGAATCTTTACTATGCCTGCTGTGTTTTAGTTTTTAACTATTAGGATGCTATTTCTAATAAACACTACTAATTTTTCTTTTGACATTTACTTAGTATGTGGGGAGGGATGTGTATGTGTGCAGTCATGTACATTAATTAGTGTGTACCATGTCACATGTGTGGAGGTGAGAGCGTCTTGCGGGAGTTGTGTTACTCTTCTACCACAAGAGCTCTGGGAATGGAAATCAGGTCGTCAGTCTTAGTGGCAGTGATTAACCCATGTCATCAGCCTCAATGCTGTTAAGGTTATAAATTTAAGGTCAACAGAACATTTTATTTGAATGGATTCAATGTCAAGTTGATCTTCTCTAATATGAAATTTTTAAATACTCCAAAATTTGAACCTGTATTTATAAGCAACTGGAATGTTTCTCAAATGAAAAATTCTACATTTGATCTTTCATGACTGGTCAGTCGTAAAATACATACACTAAATTATAAAGCTACCTTCAGTCTTATTTGTATAAATTTTTGTCTGAAATATGAATGAATTTCACATTTTGAATTAGTTTCTATCCCTAAAATGTATAATTGTTTGTATACAAAAATTAAAATGTCTGAAACACTTTAGTTCCACTCATTTAAGTTAAGGGATATTCAGTTTGTGACATTAGTTTTGAGGTTGTGTAAACATTGACATGTGCTGTGCTTTTGTAGGACTGACAGACCAGACTGGACTTGAATCACATCAGGCATACTACCAAGTGCTTCTCATCACCTGCTTGCTTGGTGCCACTTTATCTTGTCAAATTTTTACTCGCAGGAAAAAAACATGCTATACAAATGTTTTAAATATAACTAAATTTCCTTAAATTGGCATTTTCTGCTGTCGGGTATTTCAAAATTTTGTAGAATTTGGGGTTTTGTTTTTTAAGATTTCTGTTATCTGAGGTCAACTGTGATCTGAAAATACTGAATTAAAAAAATGACAGAAGTAAAGCTATTTTTTTCAGAAGTAAAGTTTTAAGTTGTATGTTATGGACTCTGAAACCTCCTACCTAGGATGTGTTACACCTTTGTTTAGTGTATGTATGCTACATGCTTGACCTTTTTTACTAGTCACTCAATACCTGATAGTTAGCAGGTATATAGATTTCCATACTATGTGCAGTTTCATTTGGGTTTGGAATTTTATCCTCTGTTGGTAAAATAATATTATATATTCAATAGCCAAGTTTTGTGTTTGACTAAAGTAAAATTCTGCTGAAGTATTTTCCCCTAATTTTCTATTGTAACCTTTGGAAGTTTAAATGTGTCTGCTTGTACCACAAATTTTGAGCATTTCTGTTTTAGGGGCTGGGTTCTGGTGGCCGTACTAGAGCTTTAACCACTGTGATGATAGCATAAATAATGAAATTTGAAATATAAGTTTCAAAATTATGTACAAATGGCTACTTAAAGGATTTATGATATATAGTTAAATCACTTTCCTAGGAAAGAAAATGTTGAACAATTATTTAAGATCTGAAGTGGCTTTTGTTTTTAAGATTCATTTTGTTTTGTTTTTAAGGTAAGGTCTTAAATCTTTTCGCCTAGATTGGTCTTCAGTTCATGATTCTGCCTTGACCATGCTGGGATTATGAGTGTATACCACCACATGAGATTTCCTATCAGTTATTTTATCAAATGCTTCCAAAGAGTTCATTTTATGATATGTCTGTGTCAAATACTAAATATTGTAAGTTCAACTATAGGAAATACCTCTAAGAATATTCTTTACCTTTGTTTTATGGTTTACCTTTGTTTTATGGTTCACATAGTTTCTTGGATATTTTCAGGATATAAGTATAGATAGAAAGTGGCCATGCACTGTATTTTTATAATCCATCAAGCAAATGTATTTTTGTCAGTTATTGTATCATGTTACATAAATTTATTTTTGTTAGGTGAACTTAATGTAGTTAAAAAAACTTAACATTAAATTTTATCATAAGATTTAACTGTCAGGGGCTGGAGAAATGGCTCAGTGGTTAAGAGCACTGACTGCTCTTCCAGAGGTCCTGAGTTCAATTCCAAGCACCCACATGGTGGCTTACAACCATCTGTAATGAGATCTGGCGCCCTCTTCTGACCTGCAGGCATGTATGCAGACAGAACACTGTATACATAATAAATAAATAAATCTTAAAAAAAAAAAAGATTTAACTGTCAGGCCAGTCTTACTCATGCCTTTAATCCCAGCACTAGGGAGGTAGAGGCAGGTGGATCTCTGTGAGTTCAAGGCCAGCCTGGTCTACAAATAAAATTCTAGGACAGCCAGAGCTGTTAAACAGAAACCTTGTCTCAAAAACAAAACAACTCCCCCAAAACAATTTAACTGTCAGCTGTTCATTTTAATGTCCAGAGATAAGGCATTTAAATTCCTCTTTTTCTCAAATAATGTGGGAAACGGTTAACTGCTTTCCCAGTGGGTGCCAGATAATTTAGCTATGAAGCAGATAATTAATCTGTACCACCCACTAAACCTTCACCTACTCAGCCAGGGGACCAATAGAGACTGTCAGTGCCAAAGTGGCAGGTTATTTGTCTATCTTGATGACCGAGGTCAGGTTTAATTACCGTATTGCAGAGTGGTATGCTTGAAAATAGCAGCCAGCTTTCAGAACTGAGGAGGAGTTAAACTGCTTACCTCATAGTTGGTTAATTAGAAATTATTTTTATATGTTTATTTCTCAAATGAGTCTCTGGTTGGTTTTGATTTGATTTGTAGCACTGGGAATCAAGTCTAGGGTTTATACATACCAAACAAGAGGGAACTGAGATTGGTATGTAAAATGAAAAAGAAAGATAGTTTGTTTTCTTTTTAAAAAATAAAAATCTGTCCAGCTGTCCTCGAACTTGCTCTGTAGCCTAGGCAGGCTTGAACTGTCTTCCTGCCTCAGCCTCCTAATTCAGTTTGTACCAACAGGCCCCACTTTTTGTTTCTCCATCCCATTTGTGTTAGATAATCGAAACCTGTTTCCTGTAGTTATTAATACCTTTTAAATGAAAACATATATAAGTCCTTTTAAAGTCTTAAAATTAATATATGGGTACTTATCTTGTATTTAGGATTTTATGAAAATGGAAAATTATGAGGCATGTGTAGGTTTTGATCTCTATGAGACACCCCTCTCTACTGTTGCTCAGAAGATTATGTGTGCTATGCGTTCAGGTGATTTCATGGATTCTAAGAATGAGGGAGAGAGTACAAAGAGTAAGTAATTTTATGAGTCCTTTATTGTCTTATATGTTACTTATTTTAAAAGCTTAAGACTTAAAAGTGAAATGAATGTAATAAAATTATTCCCTAGAACTTTATATTTTGTAGGGAATTTCTATTACCTACAAAAGAAGTGATTTCCAATACCCTCCCTTCCCCATTCATTATGACTAAATTGCTTACTAAATTCAAACTCCTTTAACCCCTTTGCTTTAATACAACACTCTTCCTTGTTCTTGGTACTTTAGTATCTTCAAAGGAGATGAACTCTTTCCTAATGTCTCTTGGATTATTGAATTTGTAATTTACTTGCTGTTGTATATGGTCATAAGAGAAGTGTTTCTGTCATATACTACCATACAATGTATAAATTCTGGGTATCAGAGAAGAATGGGTTTGTGTATGTGGTTTATGATGTATGGCATGCTAACAAAAAGCTGTGGCATATACTCTCAGGCACAGGTATAGCTGGAAGTTTTGTAACATGAGGGTTTTTTAACTAGCAAAGCCAGTAATTTGTTTTATTTCTTTTCCTAAAAACTAAGTTGTAAGTCATATTAAATTAGGATATTGAGATGGAATCATTGAGTGTATTGCCAAGTATTAACACAAATGCTATCCATAAACACAATTTCTTAGTTAAAAGACAGTAGCACTTGGGACTTGAGAGATGACCCAGTGGAAAAATAACAGGCTTGAGCAACTGAGTTTGAATCTGTTGTATTTAGGTAAAGAAGTCAGAGGCAAGGCTATTTGTGTCTAACCACAACATTGAAGATAGATCTTGGGAATTCACTGACCACCCGGCCTAGATGAAAATTACTACTTAAATTGCTATAATCTCATTTTTTTTTTCAAAATCTCCTTGCTCAAAGGTTACACCACTATCCTGACTTTTATTACAACTGCTTCCTAAGGGAAGTGTTTTATATTACTTCAAAAACCTTTTTGTCAGGGATTGCTTATCTATCCCATAGTAATCCAGACTTCCCTTTCTGAGGTACAGAGGTGTGTGCATGGCTCAGGTTCATTGCATCAGGTCCTATCAGATAGTGAGTACCTCTTCTAAGGCATATTTGAAGAAGGCCAACTTGTTTCCCAGTTGGAACTCAAGATCATTTCTCTTCAGTTCTAGGCTAAATAATAGTATTATGGGGTGGGGATGAAATAATATGTCAGAAGGACCTTGGGTATGTGAGTGCTTCATGAAACAACAACTCTATCACTAACCGAGACCTTTATCTCAGAACAGGAAAGAGATAAGCTTACACGTTGTTCATTAAGCCATTTAGCTTAGGTTTTTGTAGTTTTTTTTTGTTGTTGTTGTTGTTGTTTTACCTTAACTCACCTTTATATTCAGAGTTGAGTTCATCTATAAATTTTTTGCCTTATATTGTTCGGTAATACTGTTAAAAGTGTTTGGCAATTACTGGGGTCAAAGAAGTTTTTAAGGTTTTTAGCTGATTAGATGCTATGTCATCTTGAGATTGAGCATGTTTTAATCAGGATATATGTTTATTTTATCTTTATTTTCATAGAAAAACATTCCACACATTTATTAGAACTTTTAAGCTGGAGTTTAGAGGTATATATTGTATTTAAAATATTTTTATAAAAATGAGTTTATAAAAACTTGATTCTCTAAAGGTATTTGGGGGAATACATTCACACTTAGTATGAAGCTTATCTTTATTCCCACTATCTAATAGAAATATTTAGCAATTTCAGTAACCGAATGAAAAACTAAAAGGCAGAATAGATCTATGATTATATTTCTTCTAATTAGGAGTAAATGAGTAAACATTTTTATGTGTACCAAATAAATATAAAAATCCTTACTTCAAATCATTTACATAACCTTGCAAGGTCTTAGATTTTAGTTCCCAAGGCACTGCCCTCTGCCTCATGGATATTTTTGAGGTAGCCTCTAATTTTTTTTGAGACAGGCTTTGGGGCCTGTCCTGGAATTAGCTCTTGTAGACCAGGCTAGCCTCCAGCCCACAGAGATCTGCCTGCCTCTGCCTCTCAAGTACTGGGATTAAAGGCCTGCGCCACCACTGCCTGGCTCCAATTGCTTTTTATTTTCAGTTTATTGCCACTTTGGTTGTTTTTTTGTGTGTCATGGCTTCAGGTTATTCTTTGTCCTTGCTCTCTGGAAAATTTGTCCCTAGGATATTTTCATGTAATTCTATGTAATATCTAGCTCCTATCTGCCCTTTATATTATATTCTACTATTCACTATTTTTCTTTCTTTTTTTTTTTAAAGATTTATTTATTCATTTATACAGTATCCTGCCTGTAGGCCAGAAGAGGGCATCAGATCTCATTATAGGTGGTTGTGAGCCACCATGTGGTTGCTGGGAATTGAACTCAGGACCTCTAAAAGACCAGTCAGTGCTCTTAACCGCTGAGCCATCTCTCCAGCCCTATTCACTATTTTTCAACACTTTGTTGTCCTGTTTAGATTTAACTATGACTCCTGACAACATGACACTTTTCTGTCTCCCTGTACTCATCCATTCCTTGTTGACCTTTCTTCACAGCTGTTAGTGTGTTAGTGCTTGTTTCCTGTATGGACATAGATGCAAATTCTCTCAATGAAATACTTGAAAACTGAGTGTAGTACCACATTAAAAACATCTTACAACATGACCAAGTTAGCTAGTTGTTTGTTTGTTTTTGTTTATGTGTTTTTAGGACAGGGTTCCATTTCTTTGTGTAGCTCTGGCTGTCCTGGAACTCACGCTGTAGACCAGGCTAGCTTCGAACTCAGAGATCCGTCTGCCTTTCCTCCTAAGTGTTAGGATTAAAAGTGTGAACTACTGCTGGTAATCAAATTAGTTTTATTCCAAAGATGTAAGCATTATTCAAAACAAGCAAATCAGTAAATTAACTTAATATATAAATAGAATCAGGGACAGAAATCACATGATCACCTCAATAGATACATACATTTGACAAAGTTCAACCCTTTAATGGCAAGTGTCCTGAAGTGACTATGTCTAGAAAGACCATATCTTACCATAAGAAGAGAGTCAGCATCGGGTAACAGCATTTCCCTCCAAGTTTGACCACATAAGTTCAGCCCCCAAGATGTACCTGGTCAACAGAGAGGACTCATGAAAGTTGTCTCCTGACTACACATACACACAAAAATAAATAAATGTAATTTAAAACTAAGGGTAGGAAGATGGGTCCATGGTTAAAGTACTTACTATATATGTGTGAGGACTGGAGTTCAGATCCCTGAAATTCATATGAATTCCCTGGAATGATGTGTATGCATGTCTGGGTCCACTTATAATTCTAGCCTTGGAAAGAAAAGATGGGATCCCTTACTAGTTAGTAAGACTAGCATTATAAGTGAACTCAGTTGATTTGAGAGGTCCTGCCTCAGTGAATAAGGTAGAAGAGTGATGAAAGATGATTCCTTACATCAACTTTGGATCTCTACATGCATATGCACCCATGTGTTCTTGCACCCACTCAAATGTGTGCCTACATATGCAAATGTGTGTACACACACTTGCATATCACACATGGAAATGGAAAATAATAAAAAAAATTAAAAGTAAAAGCTTTATACAGAAAACATCACAAATACTGTATTAATGGCGAAAAAATTGAAAGCATCCCCTGTAATTCAAGAATAGGAAAACATTGACTAGTTATCGGACTAGCTCAGCAGGTAGAGATGCTTACTACTGAGTCTGAGAAACTGAGTTCAGTCCCTAGGACCCATGTGGTAGAAGGATAGAACTAACTCTTGAGAGTTGTCCTCTGACCATTGGCACACTATGGCAAGCACAGGCCACCACAAAATAAATATAACAAACAATTTTAAAAAGAAAAGTATGTCTATTCTCCATTGTTGTCTAGTGTAGTCCTTGAATTCTTAAGCCAGAGAAATAGAGGGTACACACAGGAAAGGAAAATGTCAAATTATCCCTATTTACAGACTGATCCTATACTTAAAAGACCCTGATATCACCAGAAAACTCTTAGATCTAAATAAGCATTTTCTTCAAAGTTGTAAGATAAAAAGTTAGCATCAGTTGCTTTTCTATATAATGACAATGAACACGTTGGAAAAAAAAAAGAAATCAGGGCAAGCATAGTGGTGCATGCCTTTAATTCCAGCACTTGAAGAGGGCAAGTTCTTTGAGGCCACCCTGGTCTACATAGCAAGTTCCAGGATAACTCAAACTACATAGACAAACACTGTCTCGAGGAAAAATTGCAGAAGAGGAAAAAGAAAAATCTAGAAATATACCTATACAAAGTGTGAGACTTTTACAGTGAAAACAGTATCCCTAAAGGAAGAAACTGAAGTCACTAGAAGATGAGGAAGAATACATTCATTGACTGGCAGGAGGAAAATGACTATTGCCAGAAGCAACCTACAGAATTGCTACAATCTCAAACAAAATTCCAATGGCAAACTCCTAAGATTAATATGAAAGCACAGAAGACCTCAAGCTGTCAAAGCAATCCTGAGCAAAGAGCATACTACAGTTGTCACAACACAATCTCAAATTATACTACAAAGCATCAGTAAAGAAACAACATGGTGCCAACACAACAGAGACCAACAGTGACCTCGAATTGAGGACCCTGAAATAGACCATCCATCCGACTTTCAATAAAGATGCTGAAATAAGTTGGAGAAAAGACAGCATCTTCAGTTGGTGCTAGGAAACCTGAAATTAATGTGAGACCTGAAACTACTAGAAGAAAACAGGAAAGACATTTAAAGATACAGACACAGAATTTTTCTGAATAGGATTCTAAGCCAAGAAACCATCAAGAATTGACAAATGAAATTACACTGAATGAAGATTGGACATCATGGGGGAATAATTACCAGTGAAGAGAGCCTACAAAATGGGAGAAAGTCCTTACTAGTTACTAATCTAACAGCATTGCCATCTAAACTTTTTTGTTTTATTTTTCAAGACAGGGTTTCTCTGTGTTGTAGTTGGACTTTTTTGAA